ACGTGAAAATAGTCTACATTTTAACAATCTGCATTAGGAAAACTATAAAATACAGTATAGCAATTGAGAAAATTGTTGCCTTTACTTATTAAAAAAATCTTCTAATTTTATTTTTAGAATTTCTAGGCTTCTTCCCTGCAACCCTCAGTTTTTCCAGCTACATTATTATTATATCATCATTTTCCAGATACATTATTATTGTATTTACACAGAAGTTAAAATGTGTGCGTGTGAAAGAAAATTCTGTAGGCACGTCCCTGGTGATATAGAAAATGACAATAACCTCTATTATTTTCAGAGGAAATCAGCTCACAATCTAAATGCCATGTTCTTGTAAATAGTCTATACATTACTAAATAATAGGGCTTGCTATTGTTGTCTGGATCTCACAAATGACTGCAAATAAAGAAAACAGAGCCCTATTGATTCACATGCGTGGAGTCCAAGAGTCCACCCTGGCAGTCTCTTTGTGATTAATATCAAGCCCACAGAAAGACCCCCATTTGCTTATATTATTATTATATTCACCATCAATACCATGAAATATGAAAACTGAAGGGATATTTACAATCCATTTAATTATTACAATTGTTGCTTCTTCTTGTTAATTACAGTTCCTCTTCCCTTACATTTTCTTTTCTGTTCCTTTCCCATTTTAGCCCAGAAGTCTACTCAGCCATGTCTGGCTTACAGTCAATTATGCCTTCTTGTTTCGCGCTGCTGCTTTGCGGCTCTCAGAAACTGGGAGATGCATATATTTATTGCAAAACAACTTCAGTTCAAGGAAAACAGTAGAGCCAATTCTAGCTGTTTTAAATGTTCTAAAATCAGTATCATGTCAAAATCCACATTCCCAGTTACATCCGAGTTGAGTGCCCCTTTTTCAGCAAAAAACTTCCCTGTAGCAATGTTAATCTCTTCCCACATGCCATTTTAGCCTAAGCACAGTTTTGACTCAAAACAATGCTGAAAGATAATGGTTATGTAAAAACCCGCAAAAATGTGTTAATAATAAATAAGCCAAAAGTCATATTAAACAAAAAGCTGAACACTGGATACAAGAGATAGAAATCACATTTTTTCCATTAATATATAATTTCAGTGCAAAAGGCTCTATTAGTAGGCATGCCAGTCTGAAAAATAAACTCTGAGTTCAGATTATACACACAGGATATTTTCATATGAAATTACGATCGGTGCATTTTTATGCATTTCTGAGGAGAAACACCACTTCTGCTTTGAGACAGACTCAGTCATAAAGCATTTATGCTTTTTGTCTCACTGATCGCCTTGCTAAATGAAAGGACAGCAAAGTGTTAAAGTCTACTCTCTGCAGAGGTCTTCGTGGCTCGAGTGGGACAGAAGCCTTTTACTTCCTCCTGCGTGGGGGTCAAATGAATTCACAATACTTGATTCATCACAGAGATCTGAAGAACAGAGGCCAGGCAGGTTGAATTTCCAGTAATTTGCACAACCTAGCATATTGGCCCTGAACTCCCATCAGCATTCAGCAACCAGAGCCCAAAAAGGTCTCTGTGTTCAGGGTACACTGACAATGCACTATGCAGTGTCAAAAGAGCATTTTCTGATTTTGCTCAGAACTTGACAACAGTGGAATCCTTTATCTAATTTCTGCTAACAGCAACTTCTCTCCCTCGAAACAAAAAGGACTGTGCAAACTCTTAGGTGGACCAGAAATCCACTGCAAGAGGGCATGTAATCTTGTTAGTTATTAATCATATAATACCATAATAGAAATAGTACTGTTCAATTAACAGAAATGATTGGTCCCTGCCTGACAACCCTCCAGCCTAAAAGCTCCTTAAACAGTCAACATGCACAAGGACATCTTACCTAACAGAGATGTTACAGAATCTGATCTTGAATTATGCAAGTAAGAAGTCGTATTTTATAACAGCAGACAATTGTAGAGTTGATTATCATGTGCTTACTCTGTTAATTAATGTTTTTTAAAATATTTTTAAATTTAACTATATTAAAATGTAGAGTCAGTGTCCAAATTAAAAAGGAATGCCCAAAGGTATAGTGTACATACAAGTCAGCCTACGTTATAGTTTTTCATTGTTGTTTTACAAATTTGGAACAGGACAGCCAAGACCTACCTTTTTCTGGTTTGGCAAACTGTTACAATTCTGAAGGCCACTAATTTGTATTACCATAGATGGCTTGGTTTGGAAGGGGCCTCAAGGATCATCAAGTTCCAACCCCTGTGCTACAGGCAGGGCCACCAACCTCTGGACCTGGTACTAAACGAGATTGCCAAGGACCCCATCCAACCTGGCCTTGAACACCTCCAGGGATGGAGGTATTATGCCACATGAGTTACCATCAAGAACAAATATGGAAGAGGAACTGTGGAGACTCAATCTGAAATATCAAGATAAGGTTCAATATTCATGGTTTTACTATCAAGTTGGAGCAGTGTCTGAAGTCCAGACGCTGCCAAGCATTTAGGCACCTGGCTCTCTGTGAAAGCAAAGGGTATTATATTCCTTTAAAAATTTGTTTCTTGATGCCATAAGGGGAAAGAGCTTACTGCACAGAAAGTTTCTGTGGGTTCACAAAAAAAGTAAAATTTCGAATTTATCTCTGAAATTTGCTCTACAATCAACTGTACTGTATGCATTTTTGCATATAGGTCTCTAGTTTGCCTGATGTAATTATGTGGCTCAGCTATCCCCAATGCAACATTATGATGTAGGTCTTCTGTTAAGTAAGAAAAGTAGACAGTAGACACATGCCATCATAAAAAGACTGAACAGGCTGATTTCCTGAAGTTTATTTCCTTTTTGTAACAAATATTTACTGTCAAATGTTTATTACTTCTACATTTAGATTTTTTTAAAATACTTTATTGAATTAAAAATACCACATTACCATTGGCTAGAAGAGGAGACAGCTACATTTGCCAATAATTTCTACAGCTAATGCCAATGACTAGTGCCAATTTTTTTTTTTGGTTCATATTTTTGTAGACAGCTTTGAGACTTACAATACAAGCATTCTGCAGATGAAGCATGAGAAACACAAAGGTGAAAAGAAAAAAATCTCTCAGGTCTAAAAGTTTAAGATGATCATTTCCTCAAGATAATTAATTCCATTGCCTTCAAACTCCATTTCAGAGTAGCATAACAGGAGGCAATTATTGACGTAAATTTATAGCATGTGCCATAATTGATCCAAAGCTTCACAGTGTGAATATTAACTCTAATACACGCCTGATAGGGAAAAATAAATACTTCTAAGTGTTTGTCAGCTCTTTTTAATTAGCAGAAGTTGTACAAGGCTTTTCTTTAGAAACTACTAAGGGTTTAGCAAACATCCTTTTTGAGGTGAGATTCTGAGGCAGGGATGGAAGGAAAGAACACAGCTTTTACTGTGTTCTAAGGTTAAAAATCATGGGAGACACAAATACCTGCTGTCTGTATCTTGCAGAGAGGAAAAGCACCTGTTGGTTTGTTATTCTGGCAAGAAATTTGTTCCTGAAACAATTCCAGACTGTACTGGTGGACATGCATGAGAAATGCTGACCACCAAGCAGTAGGCTGACATTCTTCTTAAGCATCGGCCAATCCAGAAACAGAACGTGTTTGGGTTTTTTTCAGTCACAAGGAAAATAGTGAATATCTGTTCCAACACCAATCAAGCTTTGTGACACCCACACAAGTGGAAAAACTTTAACTATCCTAGGTAGATCTGGGATTTTCTTTACAGACCTAAATTCTAACATTTTGCTTCTTGTTTGGTAGTCCCAGTGGTCTGCATTTTCTTGGTGGATCTGGAAAATAGAATCTCTCCAGATTCTTTTCTTACTGTTTTAAATTAGCTTGCTTCCAAATCCAAAACAAATAAAACAACAAATTTGGAACGAAGACCACGTTCCCATGATTTGCACATTTTCAACAGTTTTAGTCATTTGGCACTTAGAAACCTCAGTTATCACTGATTATTATTTTCACTGTTAGAAATGATTTCAGATCTTGAGATTGTTCAGAATGGTATTGAAGGACAATTTACAAGTGGCTAATCAATGACAGCAAGAAACCTGACTACTCTATACCTATCTAGGACAGATTTTGCTCCCAGCTGGCACTGGTTACATGATACAGGGCTTCATGACTTTCTTCTGGGTATTTCTGAGGCCATGATGGATGTCTTTTTCCAGTCCCTATTTGAAGTGAGATGTAGACAAGCTCTGGTGAGGATACAAGACATCTAATTACATGTAAGACTTTAGGAAGAATTTAGATATCTAAGTTCAGAAATTTAGACAAAAGAAAAAAGTCAGAAAAATAAGTTAGGAAAGTTAGGCTGCCTCATCTCAAATACGATCTACTTCTAGAAATACCAAAAATCACTGTTTCTATTATGCTGCCCAGCCATATGATACGAGCCATGTTGCACCCAAAGTGTGACTAAAGATCATTTTGCTTAGAAAACACATAGGAAGGGGCCTGATTCTGCATAAACATTTAATTGATACCACAAAGGAAAAAGTCATTAATATTTCCTTTGCAAGGAGTTAGAGTCAGCTTATAAGGACACTGTAATGGTCCAAAGGTGAAGTCTACTGAAAGATCCACACAGACATCTAGTAGGAGAGCTTTCCTGTGAGAAGATACTTTCATCTCAGCTGAACTATCAGGAAAACAATCTCTATTGAGTCCTTCTGAGAAACAGTGTGGAAAGGGAAGAGTGCCTAAATTAAGAATGAGTACAAACAGAAGTTCTTCTGTGTCTGCTGTGGGACATTAAAAGGACCGATGTGGGGAAAAGAAGGGGACTGCAGAAGTACGTATGTGCTGTTGACATGAAAACCAAAGAAAGCTTGTCTACTGATTTTGTATCAGCAGTGCTAAATACTCCGAAAATCCCACTACAATTCTGAGGAAGGCACAGACTCCTTCACTTCCTCAACATTAAACAGCTGTATTTCCGCATCCCAACCTCATTTCCAGATATACTCCACGAGCTCTTACCTCCATATTTTTACAGAATGTAGCATTGGTCCCAAAGAGGATCTGGCACTGTTCATCGGCACTGTAGTGCATTCCTGGCAGCTTGTGAGGGAGCCGCACTGCATATTGGCTTCGGGGGTCTGTTACTAGCAAACAGGTGCTGACCTTGGACCTGTGGAGTGAGATAATTAAACATGCCTTTAAGGGAAAGCACCTTTGAACTGGAATGTTAGATCACTGCTGTAGAGCAGCTGTTGTCCTATCTTTAATAGGGAATCTGATTACCTTCTATGAAATAGTGATGATTTTCCCAATATCTTTCTGGAAGCTGAATCACTAAGCCTATTAATAGAAAGGTTCTTGAGAACTCATCCTCCACCTCAGGCCTTGAAGCAGAATACACTGCATTTACATCATTCTCTGTAAATATTTGTCTGAAATCTGATGGGGACTCAATTCTGCCCTTAGGCTAAAGCCCAGTAGCTTTACAAGCTTTACAAAGATCCCTAGAAAGCCTTCTATCAAGTCTCACCTGAATCCCCCTAGCTGAATTTTAAGCCCTTGGCTTCTTATCTAGCACAGAAATAAAAGAAAGCTTTTTGCCTTTGTCTTCAAAACAATTTTTGACAAACTGGAATATTTTTGAGTCATCTTCCCTCTGTCAGGGACCAGAGTGGGTTCAGATGCAACTCCTTTTTCAACTTTACACTTTAATGTAAACTTCTCTCATTATTTTCCTTTCACTTCCACCTCTATTCCTAATTATCCATGCTGAATCCATTCCTAGAAATAAAGGCTCTACCTGCTTTCAGAGTTTAAGTGTATGTGTAAGACCACAATGAAAGAGTATGGTGCAATCCTTACTTTAGGAAGTTTTCAAGGTCATCGCGACTGCATGAAGACCAGGAGAGGTCACTGGGGTTCCTGCCCTTGACCCATTCTCCAGACATAATATGAGACCTCCCTGCACAGGGAGGATGATCGTCATCATGGCTCATTCCCATGCTGTTTAATTAAAACAAAACAAGAAAAACGTCTATCAAGTTACCACGTTGGACATTTTCAAATCTCGCAGCTGTTAGCAGAGTCAGGAAGAGGCTACACAAATAATGCAGAAATATTCACCTCATGCTGGAATATGTCTCATGAATAAACTATAGAGTTGTTTATATTTTTTATAATTGTATATATATATGTGTGCATATATGTATAATATATAAAATTAAACTATAAATGGAAGGTTCCTTCAATTTATCCACTGCCTTAACTTCATCCAGGTTCTAATATTTGTTTGCTGGAAGTTTTTAAATGTGCTTCACCTGGGTTTTCCTACTAGAAATTGTAACTACTTGTGGGTTCATGAAGAGTCAGCCTGGATGTAACAGATCTGAAGGATATCTGCTAAAACATCAAAGATAGTATTTACTGAAAATTTGGAATCTCTTTCCCAAATCCAGTGGATACGACTCCTACGACCACGCTGATAAAATGGTCAAACTAACACTAGAGATGGGCCAATTTTGTTGCTCTCTCAGGGTAAATCTGCAGCAGTTCCTCTGTTAAGAAAGATTTCTCTAACTTTGTGGCATTACACCATCTCTCTCATCTAACTCTGAAGTGTTGAGTTTCTGTTTAGATCACACTGTCTGCACTGGCCTTTCGGTCCTAAATTACTCTGTGACCCTATGATGACTCCAACAGCAAAGCTCAGGTAGCCTGAATCAGAATCAAGCTCCCATTTTTGCAAGCACTGTCCAAACAAGCACAGACTGCCCCATGCCAGCAAGAAGAGAATATAACCTACTCAGCAAAACAAGCAATCTAAACAAACAGTACGAATGGTGTAGTACAAATATACTGGGAGGAACTTAAATACATTCACTGAGAATTTTAGTGTTCTAAAACAAAAAGTCTTACTTTAAAAGTTCTCTCCTCTCTACCCCTCAGGACACTTCTGCCATTAGAAATGTCCACCATGGGCTGCTACTGTAAATCACCGTTCAGAGGAGCCTCGCTCTGTTGTCTTTCTAGGAAGGTGAATCTCCTCTGGATGAGGTGAGCCTTCAGGAACAGCTCCAAAGGCAGCAGAGAAGGCTAAATGATGTACACATGTTCCTCTGCTGCACCAGTGAAATGTCGGAAGTCCTAAATGGCAATTCTGCACTCAGCTTATTCGTGCTGCCCAGCAGCAAAAGAAAGTTAAGGATTTTCCATCCTACTTCAAAACGACCATTAAAATTATTTTTGAAGTTATACAGAATAATAACATTTTGAGATGTTAACATCTTTCCTTTGATTCCAACGTGAAGTGGAAAACGGTTTTCAGACAAAATGTGTCTCGTTTGGCCAGGGTCACATTTTAGCAAAGTAACAGCCACCAGTGTTGGGCCAAAAACAGACTAACAGGAACTCTGTAGGTCTCCAACCTGCTGGACTGAGCAGGGCAGAAGCAGTCCCTTAAAAAATGGTATTGGACGCTTTAATGCACGTTATTTCTTCAAGGCTCCTGTTTGCTTTCTGACTACACTCTTGGCTTTGCTTCTTTCCATTTTTGGGATTCAACTGTTCAAAATCTAAACACAACATACATTTCTAGTTGCAATGAACCAAAACCAGCTTCAGCAGCTTGATAATTATGGCTTAGATTAAACCACCAGTTATGCTATTTTTAGCTTAAAGCGAAGATTATACAGCAGTCTATTATTCTAGGTTTATCTCCAGGGACATTATTATTTCTAGCAAAACTACATTTAACAATTTTTAGAAGTTCACAGCTATGCTTGTTTTTAAACCTTTGCGGGTTTTGAACACAGCAGAAACATTAACATCAAGCACATTTTGTTTGATGCAGGCAGGAATAATTTAACAGTCTATTAGTAAGTCTGACTTAAAAACAGCAAAGAGTGAAATTCCTGCTCCGTTGAAGTGAATGGGAGTTTTGCCATTGACTTCAACGTTGCCTGCGTTTCACTCCAAATATTTTACTCATGTTGTTTCTACAAACCGAGAAAACTGTTCACATGCTAGGAAGAAAGTTCCTGCAGTATTCCTGCAATGCAAATAAGCCCGTGTTACTGAACTTGAGGAAGGGAAGACCTGAACACGATGAAGCGAGTCAGGTAAATTTGTTGGAAGTCCTCCAGAGGAAACTTTGCTTGTCTAAAAATGCCAGATTAGAAGGCCTCCTGTAGTCACACTGCAATTGTGTTAACTTTTCTAATGGAAACAATGCAGGTTTCCAAGGTTTCTGCCAGCTTGCCTGCCTTGTGACTGCCACACTGTTGAGGCTTGAACTTATGTCCCCTAGATTTCTGCTCTGACAAGGCTTCTATGGCATGGGACTCAGCAGTGCATGCTCCCATTCTGGTAAGTCCTTGTTGTCAATTCAGCTGTCCCACATACAAAAAAAAAAAAGGTGGAGAAAAACCCACACATCTTCCCAGCTTTCCAACCTGTTTCAGAATCCCTGATTTTATCTTTTCCATGGAAGGCTAGTTTGTTTTAGAGCTCCTTAATTAAGAAATGTTTTAGCTTTCTGATTACTTGTTTGTTGTAATTTATTAAAAATGGGATAATTTTGTTGACAAACAACACAGGCAAGTTACTTATTAGTACACATCTGTCCTTAATTTTATTTTAAACCTGAGTTCATGAAAGACTCCTGCTCAGGAGAAATGCTGAGGCTAATACTCATTGCTCAGATTTGATTTTGCAGGGGTGTTTGACACAAAAAGAACATAATCTCTAAAAAGACTGACTCAGGACTCACGTCTAAGAGCTATTTGCAGGCTTCTTGTGAAATTCTTTCAAGGTTTACTTGTGTGGAAATTGCTGCTTTTCTGAATCACTCTTGGTTTCTCAGCAGAAATTCTTTAAAAAGTCATAAGTGTAGAGGAATTGAGCCTGAGATATTGGTAGGAATCAAAGTAGCCCTGCTAAGTCAGAAGAACCATGCCAGTTTATGTTAGCTTGGGATCTGGCCTCAAGGTATATAAGCAACCTCTACTGGCCCCTCGCTGATGAGTTTCTGTTAGAATGAAACCAGCAACACCTTTGGAGTCTGTTTTAATTGGCAGAGCAGAACTTTTCCCAGCATCTACTTTACCTTACAGTGATTCACTCGAGGAAAGGACTAAATGACCTGCCGGACTAAGGCATACCCTAGCATGCTAACACATTCTTTTCTGAAGTTCAAGGGTCTCCAGTGACAACAAAGGGATCATTTTTTCCTAACCGCATAGTAAATGTAATGCCGTGCTAATTCATTTCATTAATATGCTCCCCTGCTTTTAGCAGGGATAAATCAGACAGAGCATTATGTATTTGTGCTAAACAACAATGCAAGTGCTGATTCAGTATTCTGCCTTTTCTTTGTGATCATCTAATCTTACCTGCTACTCAGAAGTTCACGCGGAATTAGAAGCACATAATCAGTCTCTTGAAATATTCTGTCACGAGAAGGAGTTCTATTCTTACACAAACAGATAATGAAAACGTAGCCAATAAAAATGGCTCTTAGATTAGAAGGCTAAATTGGCACTACATAACCTTGGAGACCCCGTGTGCTGTTCAGGTCATTAGTATCCCTTTTACCAAGGGTGGCAAACACATGCTGCATAATACCTTTTATGTTGCAAAGCCAGCACAGCCATTAGAGATGAGCAAGACTCAGTTTCACTTCGGCTCTTACTACCACAATCATTAAATCCATTCTATGCAGTTAAATATCGGCCTTTGGTTCATCACACTCTCCCTCCTGAAGATAACAAGATTCCACACAGGCAAGCAAGAATGGCTGGGACTGTCAGCTTTTCAGCAGGGTCCCTTCATTGTGTATTTATTCAGAGTAAGCACAATGGGACTCTGGTTTCACACTCCAGATTCTCTTCTAATGTAAATAACGCAACAGTTATCAGTTGAAGACGCAAGGTATCACTGATGGAGTCCCACAGCATATTTATTATTGATTACCATATGTGAGTCCAGAAACAAGCTGACTGACCTGAGCTCTGCCTGTTAACAGAGTCATGACATGGCAAGCTTTATCCCAAGTCGCTACAAGGCAACAAAACCAAATCTCTTTGAAGCTGCTTTTTGCAAAATGAGACTCTGCTATGAATAAAAAACACCACGCAGTCTCTCCATACTCTGGTCTCTCTGAAGCCTGTGCTCCCTTCCAGGACACCACTCTCTGTCAGAGTCTACATAGCAATTAGAATTGGGTCAGCATGCCAGAATTACACTCTGGGCCTGAGCTGGCCAGTTTCTTGTGTAACTCTTTTTTAGCTAAATGCAATTAAGACGTTTGTTTTCCCACAGCAATACTAAATAAATGCACTTGCTTTGTTTATTTTGGTCATTAGTAAAGCTTCTCCTCTAGACAGTAAATGTAACTAAACTGTTCTGTTTACCCTTGGTGCTTTTTCCTATGTTTCCTGTTATTTTTTAAAAGCCTGAGCCAAAGCCTACCAAAGCCTGTGGAAAGCCTTCAATGCACAGTGCACTGCACCTCCAAGTTCTTAGGCCATGTATACAAATCTTCATCAGAACCACTATGACTCTCAACAGGTTTCCTACTAAAAGCCCCACATCTGAGTTTAAGAATAATGCCAAAGGCTGAGGGAAGCTGATTTAAAATACAATTTAAGCTTTTCAAACAGCTGCACGTTTGTGGCTGGTAACAGACCACTGAAAAACCCCAAGGTTTATTGTCACACACTCCCCTTGTGGAAGGGAGAGATTATAAAGTAGGGGGAAGACACACAAGTTTGATGGAAAACATCATCAGCTGTAAAACAAATGCTTTTCTTCAAGCAGAAAGAGACTGGCAAGGTAAATAAAGAAGTATGATGAAGAAAAACCTTAAAAAAAAAACCACACCCAGAAGTGGAAATACCATGAACTACTACTACTCCCTCTGTTTCAAATAAGCACTTCAGCTGCCTATTAATAAGAGATTCTCCACAGCCTCTCTGCAAAAGCCAAACCTTTCCATTGGTCTGCAC